AACGAAAATGAAAATTTGCTTGATAATTCAACTACGCTTGTTGGAGAACAATAAAAACACTACACTCAACAAGCCACCAATAAAACTCAACTGCCTAACCTATAACCAAAGTCTCCTTTTAATTTGTTTTTTAAAAAAAGCGCTTGACAAACTTGCCCCGCATGCCGAAGTTGCCCCGGTCTCTCCTAAATAGAAGCAGAGTTCTTTACGGTAAGCCTTACGGGGAAGGCTTATCGTAAAGAACTGTCCATCCCCCATGTTTAACGGAATAATATACAGCCTATGTCCATCCTGAAGTTCCATTGTAAATATTGGTGAAAAAATTTTTGAAATTGGATGAGTAGTTTTGGAGATTACCCGCTACATCCAAACTAACATACAAACATTACCTCTTTATTATATTAGTATAGATAATTCATAAAGGAATTAGTGCAAATTAAAAACTTAAATAGGGACAAAATAAAACATATCAGTTAAGTAGTATTAATATAGGCCTATAGGCTATATTTAACAAAGTAGCAGTATTAATGACGGTTTTTCAAGAGCCTTTGCACTTGCGATATTTAAAAATCTAAAAATACAATTATTGCATAATTAAAATAGAAAATAGAATCATTCAGTGCATAAGAGTAATCTGTGGTTGTCAATTTATCTACTTTTCAGCTATATGTAACAGAACTTAATGCTATCTAGTTCATAAAAAACTCTACTTTAGGATATTTCGAAATATACTTTATTTAAAAAATAATGTAACAGATTTTGTTCTTTTTTCAGTTTGATAATTTTACTGAATTATCAGACAATATTCTGTAGTTTTTAAGTATAGAGCTGATGTTCATTAGTCTATTATGTTATGGACTAAGTGATTTAATAGGAGCTTAATAACGAATTTAATGTAATAAATATACCTATATTAATATTAATCATATAATATGAGCGAGTTTTTCTTAAAATACTTTGAAATAATTTACAAAAATAGATAATTCTTAATGAAATNGCAGATCCCGCCACGCCTTGTTGTGGCTCAAAATGTATCTATTATAGGCCTAAATGTATCTATTATAGGCCTAAATGTATAACACTTCCCCCGCGGGGGGAATATAGAAAAATCCCTTCTTAGTGTACATTCTGTTGACGTACCCTATTAAAACGCAAAAACCCGCATCTAAAATAGTATAATAGAAGCCAAGTTTTTCACAGTAAGCCTTAAGCCTGTCCCTCTCCCCCGCGGGGAATATCGAAAAATCCCTTCTTAGTATACATTCTGTTGACATACTCTATTAAAACGCAATCAAAAATGCAAAAACCCGCATCTAAAATAGTATAATAGAAGCCAAGTTTTTCACAGTAAGCCTTAAGCCTGTCCCTCTCCCCCGCGGGGGAATATCAAAAAATCCCTTCTTAGTATACATTCTGTTGATGTACTCTATTAAAACACAATCAAAAACGCAAAAAACCGCATCTAAAATAGTATAAATAGAAGCAGAGTTCTTTACGGTAAGCCTTACGGGGAAGGCTTACCGTAAAGAATTGTCTATCTCCCATGTTTAACGGAATAATATACGGCCTATGTCCACCCTGAAGTTCCATTCTAAATATTGGTGAAAGAATTTTTGAAATCGGATGAGTAGTTTCGGAGATTACCTGCTGCATACAAACTAACATACATACAAACATTACCTCTTTATAATATTAGTATAGATTGCTTGTCCTGACTGACTGACTCACTCACTGACTCATCATCGCCCAGAGCAAACCGCTTAACCTAGAGAGGTGAAATTTGGTAGACAGTTAGGGTATGTCATGGAAACGCACACTAAGAAGGGATGTTTCGAAATTCCCCCGCGAGGGGGAGAGGGAGAGGATTAAGGCTTAACCGGAAAAACGGCTTTTACTGTACTATTTTAGATGCGGTTTTTTGTTTTTATCTGCATTTTAGTAGGGTATGCCACGGCAATGCACACTAAGAAGGAATTTTTCAAAATTTCCCCGTGGGGGTGAGGGAGAGCATTAAGACTTAACCAGAAAAACGGCTTCTACTATACTATTTTAGATGCGATTTTTTGTTTTTATCTGTGTTGTAGTAGGGTATGCCATGAGAATGCACACGAAGTAGGGATTTTTAGAAATTCCCCTGCGGGGAGGTGAGGGAAAGCATTAAGTCTTAACCGGAAGAACAGCTTCTACTGTACTATTTTACATGCGATTTTTTGTTACATTTAATCTTCATTAAGTACTTAAGTGTATTAAATTAATAACATTTCAGACATTGTTATAAATATTTTTATCTATTTCGATTTTAAAAATGTTCGGACCATTTTAAATTTGAATTTGTTATTGCATATTGATTCGATTATAG